GATATCGAAATAAGAACGATTTACAGTAATTTAAATTCAATTTTTTTCATGCTAATAAAGTTTTTCAAGTTAACGTTTTTTTCTGGTTTTTCAATCACATAATTAAGTACGAAATGAGACATTTTATTCTTACAGCTTCGATTTTCTTTGCTTGTCAACAGTTGTTGTGTGAATTTTTCTTCTTCGTGCCATTGATTTATTCTATGATTTTTTATTGTTCTGAATTCTTCAATTAAATAATTTTATTTCATTACACTCTATCAACACGCTCTAGGGAGTTCTGTATCGAACCACACAACACGTCGCTCGAGTTAATTTGTATTGCGTTTATCACAGCAGCCGTCGAGTGGCGCTCGACCGGCCGCGTGGGTGGCGCGCGCCGGCAGTCGGGGGCGGCGACAGGCACCGCGCGCCGCCGCCCCCGAGAATCGATGCGCGCGCCCCGCGCCTGGCACGGCGGCGACGGCGGCGGCGGCGGCGACGCGCGAACTCTCGGCCCGCCCCCACTCCCCAGCGCCGCCGCAATTGCGGAAGAGCGTGCGCGCCCCGGGCGAAGCGCCTCGTGGATGAGACGCGTTCCTGAACGCACCCAGAAGAGCGCGGAGGAGCGATGAATTTTGATAACGTGTGACGCGAGATGTTAATGGAAATCGAGGACACCAACCTATCCAAAACATGAATGGATACTTTGTTCTAATGATATTCGCAAATTACCAGTTGTTATTTTAAGTTGCGTAAATGTATATTTGCCTTTGTTTGAGATATGCGTTCGGGTAATAGTTTTTCGTGTTCCGTGATTTATTTTTAATCTGCGAAACTTTCACAGTTAATCATGGATTGTAGCACTTACTCAATCCACTGTCTCGTTTTTCAGTACCAGAGTAGTATCCATTCACGAACAGGAGTGCAAATATAGTAATATTAATGAAATATATACGTGGCAAATTTTTTCGAACAATATACGTCAATTTATACGAACTACGACATATGCTCTTATTAGTAGTGTTTATTTAATTATATCATATTCAGACAGTACTTCACATTCAAATAGAGTTACCCGTTACCCATATGTTACCCGGCTGGAACCCCTTCATATAAAACGCCAAAAACAACTCATAAATGTCACCAGCTAATACGTATGTATGAATTAACTACGTGCTTCTCCTTTAACCGTAATGATTTATATGATATAATTACTCCAGGGCTCCTCTTTTCCTTTCATTGGTCTTTGAGAGCCTACTCATGCGTAGTGCACCCAACCTCTGCTCATTAAGTACTCAACTCTTATACAGAATCATTTGATTTTATTAAGATTTTTCCATCATTCAATTAATCCGCTAATGTGAATTACTTCCTTACCGTGGGGGTCTCCGGCGAGTATTTTCATAGTAAAAAGTGTCATTGTGCTTTGCAAGTTCATAATAAAAATACATTTTAATCATGTTACAGTTGCCCACCCCGTATATTTTTGCACACAGAAAGTTGTGAGAAATAATGAAAGTTATGGAAAAGTATCCATAAAAATACTTGTTTACATAGTATTTTTTTAAATTAAGAAATAGTTTTTTATAGGTCCACCTGATGAATCAAGAAACGATTCGTCTAAATGCTGGAAAGAGAATGTAGTAATTCTCGACGTTTCATCAATGTACTAATGTAATGAAACCATAAAAACCACTTCGTTTCAAGAATTCTTCTAGCGTATCCCAAAGGGAACGGGTAAAGAAATGTAGCAATTGATTTACCTTGTCGAGAGGAATTGAAAAAGCTACTGATCTATGTAGGTACCGTAAGTCACCCAAAACTCATTTTAATTGCTTAAAAAATAAAAAAAGCTGCGTTTTTAGAGAAATCACTTACAATTTTCTGGATATATCTGCAACAAATGATCAGTTTCCCACCAGGACGCAGAGATGTACAAATAATACCGTATTTGTTACGAGTGGTAGACCAAAACGAACTTGTGAGTGACGGACGAACAGACAGACGCATGTCTCCCGATTACTATATTAGAATTACAGATGGCGCTTTATTACCTGCATCTCTCAGAATTCAATTCCACAAGAAAATATTTGATTTCGGTGTAAATCTCTCTAAAATATTTTGCACGAATGCACATATTTGTACCTTCCTTGCATTGATTTTCAGATTTGCCGTCTAATTCATCTGTTTCACTCATTACTATTACTGAAGGTTCCGCGTGGCTTTTAAGAAAAATAGGTTTTAGAACAGAAAAAGTTGAAATGTAAACTATTCGTTTTGCAGTAAAAGGAGCAAAAGATATACAATTGCTTAAATTACTATTCATGATCGTTCACACTACTTTTAAATTACAAGGTGAGCTTTCATTATCACTAAGCGTATTGTAACTTACTAAGCCTAAGAGGGGCGTTCAGTAAATGTAATGACTGAAGCAGAGACCGATTAGACGGCAAATGTGATAATCAATGGAAGAAAGGTACAAATATATGCATTCGTGCAAAATATTTTAGAGAGATTTACACCGAAATCACTTTCACTTTCAACTAAATGAACCATTTTATTGTGAAATTAAATACTGAAAGATGCAGATAATAAAGTGTCATTTGTAATTCTAATATAGTAATTGGGAGAGCTTCATACTAAGCCTGTGGGCTAATGTCACGACGTATGAGTGTGACAGGGGCATTATTTTCATTTGGTGTATTTGTCACTTCTTCCGATCTGATATTTTTCTAAACATCGACAATAACCGCAATAGACTGCACCCAATGAAAACGTTATTGAAACAATTAATGTAATCATCCCCCTGCAACAATTAAAAGAGTTAATGCCGTGGAAACCGGCAATTAATCCTATGCTTGGCAGGCCGGGAGATGGTTGAAAACCGTTATTTAAATATGAAAGTACATCAAAAAATGTAAGAAGAAGCTGGAAAAGATAGTAAACGTTTGGCGAGGAACCCCTGTGAGAGCGCAAGAAAGACCAAGAACAAGATCTGAAATTTTAAACTTTGCCAAGGAGTTCGTGCACAAGAGAAGACATCCAAGATGGCGGACGCAGAAGAGTCGGCCGAGGCGGCGGTGGAAGAGTCAGTGGAGCAAGCCACAGAGGGTGAAGCGGGTGAAGCGAGTGAAGCGGGTGAAGCGAGTGAAGCGGGCGACGATCAGCACGAAGCTGAGAAGGCGACGGAAATAGCCTTCGACAGCGCGACAGGAGGCGTTGGACAAGTGGTAGAAGAAGTGATCGATACCGCGGTCGAAGAAGGCGGTGGAGACGATGCAGCAGAAGATATTGGAGAGAAGACTGGGGAGGAGGATGAAGTTGCAGCGGTCGTAGCAGATGTCAAGGAGAAACTGCTCGACAGTGTAACAGGAGAGACACAAGACGCTCAAGTGATAGCTGAAGTCGCTCAGAAGGTCATCCTAGAGCAGACCGAGGGCGAGAAGGAAGAAGGGGAGAAGCCACGGGACGCGAGAAGCTTCCGCCTGTCGGAAGCGCCGGAAGCGAAGAAGACTTGGATGAAGGAAGAGTACGGGTCCGAAGACGAGGAACCCATTTTTAGAGTGTACAAGAAAGAACCGCCGCGCCCTGGCTACAAGGTTCGCACTCTGTGTTTCGCCTTTGTGTTTTTTTTATGTAATATATTCATTCGAAGCAATCAACTTGTTGCTTCTTTCACATCTTCTCATCTTTTGGTAATCATGGCCTTTTTTTAGTCTGGTAAGAAGCTCCCGTTTCCGTCTGTACAGTGTGAACGTGAAAAGTGCTAAACTCACCAAGGTCTCTATTCGTCAAGACAATGTTCCAAGATATTCCGTTGATGCCTGAGTACGGTAGTATTTCGAACGGGAGTATCTCAGGTTCTTATTGTTTAAAACAATGCTAAAATTAATATTTTGTTGTTAAAGTACACACAATTGAAAATATTATTCCTCATTTATTTTCACCTTTTTTTAAATTGATTTAATCTAGAGTCATGTCGGGTCTTCGCAGAATTTTTGTTGGATGTAAAAGTATTGATAATTTTTCAGTACTCGACTAGAAAAACTATAGACAAATTTGTATCGTAGGATTGCTGTTACCAGCGTTATTAATTCCCTACTCAGTAATGATAATTTCTTACTTGACTTGAACAAGTTTGATGGTGCACTACTTATGTTCTATTTTAGCAAGTAGCAATTTTTATTTATTTATTGCCGTTCTAAAGTATTTTAGAATAATTTAATTTACCGAAAACACTTATTCTTTGAACGATTATTTATTTCGTGTTTCTGGACGCGTCAACGGATTTATTGTGTTTTTATCAGGGAAAATAAGCGTTCTTCCACTGCTGAAGAGCCCATCGCCTCACGATGGAGAGATTGCGTCGACCTACTCGTTGACTTGCTGTTTTCTCCATTCAGCGGGGAAGCGTCCCATCAGAACAAGTTGTGGGCTCCCGACTGATTTCCTGGCATGTCTGATAGCATAGTGCGTGTAAATTGTGTATAAGTAAGGGATATGGACAGGGCACCGAGAAAGGAAAGAAAGATCGCGCGCGGTCCTTGGCCTACATGTCAGGGTACTGCTCCAGCATTTTCCCGGTATTGATCGGAGAAGCCATTGAAAGCTACCGACCAGAGTAGCCTGCCGCTGGAGTTCTCCTCCAGTCAGCGGCTGACTTGCCTATCTTGCTAGAGTCGAAAATCCTGCCACCGTCGAGTGTCGAGCCATAGGACCTCCCGGTTATACGTACTGCAGTGGCATCAGTTGATGCCGAGGGCCGTCGCAGACTGTACTTTTTCTGAACATACTATGGACCAGCAGGTTCTTTTATGTACTACGGACCAGCCGTTCTTTTGAGGTACAATAGTTCCTACTATAGTTTTAGGACAATGAAATAAAAAAAATATCTGGAATTCAGGAAATATAGTCGAAAATAACTTATATCGAGAAGGAATCTCTGGCAACTGTTTTACCATGGAGGTTAAGCATGCGGCGTTTTTCCATAAAATGACAACGTTGTCCGTCTGTTGCAGCCCGCCATGGGAGGCATCACTCAAGTTCCCTGGACGCCCACGAAGCGCAGAGGGCCCATCGCCGCCGAGTACCAGAGCCCCGGCCCCGCGTGCGTGGCGCTGCCCAACCTCACCGGTGAGTAGCCGCCCCTCGCGCACGGCGGAGCGTCGCTGCCATCTTCTGCGCATGCCCAGAAGAGCGAGACGGCAATTTATTGCTGTAGACTCTATAGCGTGCAAAAACTCTCTAACACCAGTAGGGAATTTTTGAACCTCGAAGCATTACAGCAATACACGGCGCTATCGACATTGTCTGATCAGTGCGCAGTTCGAGTTTCGCATCACTTTTGCGCATGCGCAGAAGATTGAGATGGCAGTCGAATTCTGTACGCTATGGCGTGCAAAAGCTCTCTAATAACTGACAGTAGACATGATCGTTGTCATTGGACATTTAACGTATTCTTTAAGAGTGGGGAAGAGGGGTCAAAGACTGACTTCAGTGTACTTTTATTTTTCCTCCATCTTTATTTAGATAAAGAGTGATAGTTTAATCGTTCATTTATTCAAAATATGTATGTTTTTGCCATACCTCCAAAATTGAAAATATTTTAACCCAAACTTGCAAAAAAAATTATTATCATGTATTGCTAAATTCTTGTAGCATTAGTTCTGAAGCATTATAGAACTTTCTTTCAATTATTTTACGATTAATTTCGGGATTCCCCGTTCACCTCCCTCGCCTCATTGGTGTTCGCCAGATACCGGAATGGCATTGGTTCGCGCCTGTTAATCTCTGGGTTCCTTGCTATCGCTTCCTACCCTCACACGCAACACTCACCGGGTCGAACACTCGAATTTTCATGAGACTTTACCAGCAGTTGGCGCATAATCGAGAAAGCTTAGCGACAAACTTTTAAGTGCTTTTGATAATTGGATCACGAGTTATTAACAAAAGTATTAAGATTCGTGCGGTCGCCATCGGCCGTTGGAGAGTCATGATGGAGAGATAGAGGCCGCGAGCGGGCTCTTCTCCCGAGGCGAAGCGTCAACCCCTCCCAATGGCAGCAGGCCCTTACCCGCTCAAGCGCGAAAATCAGCTTTCAGTTCAGTTGACTGGGAACCAGATCGAAAAGGTGTGCCGTATGTCTGCTGCTCTACCATCTCAGGGCCGATTTACTCTTTTAGTAATTTCCGGTTAGAAACAATTTAATAATAGGAAATCTTGAAATGTTATAACATTAAATATAATTTTATTTACTAAAACATCAAAAGTATAGCAAGAACTTATAACATTATATTATTCAATTAATTTGTTCACAAGTTACGATTTATAAGTCGAGTTTTTAGAAGATTTGTAGCATAAATATTCGGCCATTCCAATGATCTCCTTAGTGGATATTATACTAATCCCATTACTCGAAAACATGCTTGCAGCTTCTCTTGGACAGACTATTCATTATTGGCAGCGATTTCCAAACCCCTACGATTGAAAAGGTCAACCAAGAAGTGAGTGAGTTATTCTGATCGTCAAATTTAGGCTCTTTGCTTTTTCGGTTAAACAGGATCTTGTTAATAATATACAAATCAAATAATGTAACCATACTAGTCATATTCGATGCCACGGTAAGTGTACTGAATATTATACACTACACAATACTAGGTAATTGAATAATGTGAGTGTATTTGTAAATAAACGCTACGCTCTATTTGGTATCCAGGATGCAGAGACATATCTACGGAATGGCAGACATGGCACGTGCCATGGACGCCACTCACAAGGTTTCTGTGTGTGTGTGTGTGTGTGTGTGTGTGTGTAAGAGAGGATAGGGAAAGGAAGAGAAAGGAAAGTTCGCGCGCGGTCCATTGCCCGTTGGTTAGGGTCCTACTCCAGCATTCGACTGCTGTTGATCGAAAAAAAAACAGAAAGCTGACAAATCAGTGCAGCCGGACTCTAGAATTGTCCTCCAGAGAGAAAGAGAGACTGAATTCGACCTATCTGCATAGCTAGTTTCGAAAATTCACCTCCGTCGGTACTCGAACCCTTGGACCTTCCGATCAGACTCGCTACAGGGACAGCGGTACTGCGTAGCACACAACGCTAATCTCATCCGATGCAATTCACGACAATCTGGCGAGGTGAAACATGGTCCCTAATGGCTTTTTTCCTCTACACAACAATATCAAGTAAGGCGCGCGGGTAGAGTGACTGCTAATATACGATTTTCGTTAGTGTTTTGTTACACTTTCTGTTTGCCGTGAGGCTAGTTTTAGGGCCGATAACAACATACGTGGCGACAACAGGGCTTCGCCGCAAGCGACACACGCGTGCTAGAGTAGTGACTTCTTTCCTCTACTCAGTACTATCAGAGTAAGACGAATGCGGGTAATTAGATTGCAAAGATACGAACAAAATTAGTATAATACCAGTGGTTGACAACAACAAATACGCTGCAGAACAAAATCCCATAAAATGGTTTTCCAAATGTATCACGCACACTGCTCAAGAACAGAGCGGCCCGTAGCATAGTGGACAGACTACTCGCCTTCCACCACTGGTGGCCAGATTCGATCACAGGCGGTTCCAAATGGAATTTGTGGTGAGCATATCGGGTTCGCGGATGGTTTTCTCGGGGTACTTCCGTTTCTTTTACCAATATGCATTCCACCGGATCGCTCCATCAATCATTCCCTACCCTCTCCTTTCATTAACTACCATTCCGCTAAGGATCTACGGATCACAGCGGCGCCTAGGCGATAACCTAAGAACTAGCTGGAAAGGGCTGCGGCTACCTCGGGGAGTTATCGACAGGTTGGGTTCCGACCTGCGGAACTGGAGAGAGGGGACATGGTGAAGCAGTGCCTCCTCCCAAGTCCCTAGTTGCAGATAGCAGAGAGTGGCGGAGCGACGGGTATACCTTGAAGGTGGCCCCCGAAGGGAAGAAACAAGATTACACTGCTCAAGAACAACTAATAAAATACTCTTAAATAACATTTTAATAAAATAAATATTTCAACACAACAGTTGTCACGAATATTTACATGTAGTACATTTACAAAACAGTTCTTTACATACCAAGAATATAAAAACAGTTTCTGTTCCATAACGCAACACGTGAAGAGCAAATATTTAACGAAGGGCGGACTCTTCCTTAGAGTTTTGCTGTCGCATGACGTCAGGTGCGTCGTAAGCAGTGCCGCGCTGTGGACTCAGTCGATACGCGCATTATGAAAAATTGCAGATTCACGTAGTCAAATTGCATGTTCGAGTGCAAAACAAAACAGTTTCATTGGTTTTGGACTTTTTCCCCCGAGTTCCTGAGCATCTAACGAAACAGTAGATACACCTCCCGTGGCCCAAGGCTGTAGAGTGTTTTTCAAATTTCTGCGCGCATTGGAAATTAATATTATAAATGTTTCCATTACATGGCTACATTTATCTCCGATTGCAACATGCGTGGCAACGGCACCATTTGAAAAACACACGCGTGATAGTGTTCCGAATGCTTCGGTAAGATGCGCACTGAGGTGATAGCTTATTTACTCTACACGACACAGCGCATCAGGCCCGTAGGCAGTACGATTACAAAGATATTATACATATAAGTGCTTTAATCAGTCCTATAATTGTTTAAATTCATCAAATAATATTCATTGAAATAAGGAAGAAAAAGAACATGCGATTCCCTTCATTTGAATATAGTGGTTAATAACTTTCTTCGCTCAGCAACTTCCGTGGGCTAATCAAATTCTTTTTTTAATCGAGCCATAGCATGTTCGCCATAAAGTAATGCACAATTGCTTCGAACTGTGCGCGAACGTACACTACTCAATTGGAAGAGCTCCAGCCGCAGCGACCGAGCACTTCCCAGACGTCCCGGTCCAGCCCAACCGCGAACGCGAGCCTGCAGCGCTATGTCCCGCGGCGCCGGCGGCTGCAGCGAGTCTCGACTGGTTTGGGGTCGGCGACCGGCCACCCGACCGCCGCATAGTTCCCTCCGCCGCCGCCCCGCGCGCTGTAGGCTTCTGGAGCCCGTCTTTCGCCCCGAGAAGCGCAGGCGCACGTGGGCAGAAACGGACGCCCCATTTCAATACAAGGAATGTCGGGGGAGGAAACTGGGGATCCGTAGTGATAAATGATAAAATATTTCGTCGTAATCGGTGCAGACGCAATCGCGGGTCTCATTGTTAGCTCCAAAGAACTGCAATATCCTTCTGATGTCTTTCCAATGATTTTTTTTAACTCTAATATCATGAATCAAATGAAATATATGGAAAACCCAGGAACCAGGTTCTCGCTTATCGCAAAAGTCACCGTACCTCGAATAAAATTTCGGTCCTTGCAAAGAATCAGTAATAAATGGGATGTATCCGGTTAACACGAATTATGAACAATGTTTAGTGTCAGGCATAGCATTAAATTCGTTTTACGCAAACAATGAAACAAAATATCTTGCATTTGAAACTCAGCTTCACAGTGTCTGGCGGCCCGTCGCAGGTATCATTGTATCGCTTCCGAATAATAAGAACCATTTTTTGTGAACTTCCAAACTTGCTTGAATCATCAAGTGCTTCTCACAATGCTGCGCGAAGACAATGTGGCAGTTTATTAAACGAGAACGTTTATTAAAGCTGCCACACGTTAAAGTTCAAATATTTTCAGCATAAGGTAACAAGTGGACTTGAACCTTTGAATGAAGGAATACTTCACGTATGATGAAAAAATGCCGGATAATGATTGCAGACTGCGATTCGCGCGGTGGAAAACAACAATTTCATCTTGATAGGGTCGTTACTAGATAGAGCAATAGCACAGGTTTGGTATTCGGTGCTATCTCATGAAACATCTTCGACGCCTCTCGGTTCAGTAGATGACAATGCACGGGCTGCTGACGAGATAGAAACCACACCGGGAGAATGGGAGATGTTCCAAAAGTGTATGTCTTACAATATCAGTTTCCAAGAGTACACAGGTGTAGGCGATGCTGTGGGGTGCTTTGGAGTATGCTGTTCTGATAAAACAGTGAAACCTGCCCAAATAGAAAGAGTTATCTGCTGAAGAACTTGACGGAGAAGAAATTTAGCGCCCTTCCACGGAACAAGTAATTAGAGCCTTCAATCTTTGGGAAGACTGGCAAAAACGTCAAAGCTAAGAAAAGACTTTGTGGAGTGTTTGGAAGGCAGTACATTTAAATGCCGCATAAGTATTACGGGTTTTCAAATAAAAGAATTGTCAGTGTAGATTACAATCAGGAATAAATGTTGGTATATTCAAATGAGGTCGAGGTTTCTTTTTATATCGGATAACACGAATTTTTGAAACACGAACTCCTATTCTTTCAGTCCTTTGGAATTTGCTTTATCAATGTTTCATTTAATCTGATAATGTAATTTTATCTGAAAATAAATAAAAGGAAAATTTATATTCGCGTTTTTTTAACAAAAAAGTGTGTCACGAAAGACTTGATGGCAAAAACTCGTGACACGGTTTTTATCCTTCGTAAAAAAATTAAATTTTTAGCATGTCACTTTTTTGAATAAAAAAAATTCCTATTCAAAATAAGGTTTTGTCTTATTATATGATTCTAAGGTGAAAAGCATACATTAAGTTTTAACTTCTTTGAGTTAAAATTAAAATCAGATTTTTTCATGAAACAACTTTAAATTGAGTGTTAAATTGGCCATTATGATCATTTTTGTTCAATTTCATTGAGTTTGGGTGTAGACACCCCGGTCTTGACAATAACGCCGTTTTGCAGTTGTGCGGTTCTCAATGAACGTGGCAAGATAACTTTTTTATACTGAGATAGTACCAAAAACGTTTGTAAAATTATTTTCAATTGAAATGAGTTTACGTAAGATTTAAAAATAGATACCGGCTAAAAACGAACTTTACAGTAATTTCAAAATTTCAAGCTGATTGTGGTACTGTTTTTGTTTTTAAAAACTTCTTAGATGAATATAACCCTTCTTTGTTAATTATTTAGGTACTTTTTCATCTGTTTGCAGTAAAACAATTAATGCCACCCGAATGGATAACAAATTTTGCATGGATTACTGAGATTTGAAACACGATAGCGAGAAAACTACCACCACACGTCAGGTCGCTCCAATTACTTTGCAAGGAATAATCTATGAACAATTAGTGTTTCCAGTTTGTCATCCTAACCCTGCAGCACTGTATAACTATCGACAGTTATTCACAATACTTCCTTGTTTTAGCCCGAACGCACTTTTCACCCCTTTCCATTGTACTTTAGTGTCAAGTAAAAAGTTGATTCCGGTTAATACCATATCAGACTTTTGCAATGTTCCATTCAGGGCTACTGAGGGCAGTTATCAATTGTCACTATAAACAACAGCACAACGACTGCCGGCGACTTAACATTATGATGCACACAAAACCATTATTTTATTGAAAAATGAATAAATATACGTAGAAAGACACTTATACTTATAATTTATTAATGAAAATGACACATTGACTCATAATACTCATCAAAGAAAGAACAATACACACTTTCGTATACATTTCTACGAACCTTCATTGATTATTGGCATTTACTTTCGTTGCAAAATAATATAATATAACTTCCATGCACACGTTTTTTATTTCTTTCTCTCCCCTACTCATTGAAAATTTCGTATATTTGAAGATATTAGATTTACTGGGTAGTAAACCTTCCACAGCTTTTGCAGCTTCACATTTAATACTTTCAGGAATATTTTCCATTTTCTCCCGACAGTGATTGTCAACTGAATCTACCTTCAATGTACCTCCAAAATCAATTTCATACTATTAATCATTACTCCTACTTGTAAAAGAGAAAAAGCTCAAAATGTTGCAAAGGCAATGGGATAAGATAAAATATTATATATTACACGTCGCTGAAAGACCATTATGTGCACGTTAGTAATTGAACATTCGCACTAACGCGCTCGTGAATAATTAACGAACTTGCATATAATGGTCTATTTCAACCACTCACAAAATAAAATACTATTATTAGCGGCGCGACATAGGACCTGCTCTTTTGCCCATCACTATCAGTTAGTAAAATGAATCAAATGCAGAATTATAATGAAGAACGTTTAATTGTAAACATATATTTTGTAAAAACAAATACACAAGAAGAGAATAAATTTTAAAAAACACGACCGACAGGGGAGGACAACCCTGAAGGGGTAAGACATCTTCCTGCTTCCTCTCTAGAGGAATACTCGTAGGCGAGCAGTGCGCGCGTACATACTTGCAAATTCTGGGAGTTAATCTTCAATACACTTGCTTTTTTATTCCGAGAATGCAGTGCACCTAAATGACAATAAAATTATCAGAGGAACTAATTTAATTCCTTCGAGGTTCGTGATGACCAATGATAACAATAGCAAATGGCCCAAAATTTCATCGGGTCTCGCTTTACTGTTCCCTTAGGGGAACGACGGTCCAACTTTGAGAGACTATAATTGATAATGCACAAACCTATGAAATGAAAAAACTTCTAATATAAATCTGAAGAAATTAAATTGTATTCTATTATTCACTATAATGAAATATTAATATGATAGTTTGTTTTCGTTCTGTCATTTTTTAGGGGTTACATCTACTTATACATTTTGTTCTTAAGAAGGAACGCAAGTGTTCTCTAGATACTTCCGATAATCCAGACACCTTTTCACGAACACAACTCTATCACTAGATTGATGTATTCCTTTCATTTGCCCTGACGAAGGAGCGAAGAAATTTCCTCCAAACTTCAATCGATGCAGATCCTACTAATGCCACGCATAAATCGTGAAGAAGCGCAACTCGCAAAGAAGATGCCACAGACTTGGCAGGAATAGGTTTTCTAAGTGCAGACAACATCAAATGTCACGGTCGAGACAGTAGAATCGAAGCCAAGATCAGTAAACCCTCGTGAACATGAAATTCAAGGGGTCGAAATATTCGGTGTTCTTGTCCGATTATTATGTAATCGTATTGCTCTTTCCTTGCCGGGGAACAAATTTTGTTCCTATAAGGGAAATTCTTGTTAAGCGAGTCGTGCTAAAGACGATTTTCGGTACAGAGTGCTTAATAGAATTTTGAATTTTACTATCTTCTGCACAAAATGTTTGATCATCTTCAGTTAGAGTGCACCAAAAGGGTCGCCAAAAGTTGGGGGCTGCTACTTAATTGCCTAAACGTGTTACTATTCCTTGGTAAGAACAAAGGATTAATGATAAGATTTACAACTAACCACATTGTCCTTTGCATTCATCCAGTCAGGTAAAAGCATTTCTTGGGGGAGGGGTAAGTTTTCTACCAAATGTCTTGATTCTTAATATTGTTTCATACAAACATTAGTCATGAAAAGGAATTATTTAATTTCTTTAAAATGTTCACTGTCATGAATTGACATATTTTCATTAGTTCTTTATCTTGAAATCAGTTGTCATTTTAATTTTTTATGAATTATTCCTTTTCTTCTTCTGCAATGCTGCCTGGAATGCTATTTTACATGGGGTAAGTTATATTTGTGCGCAATTCTAAAACCTTTTATCACCAATTCTTTTACAAATAGGATGTGAAGTGTTGTGGTAATAATGGAGTTAAATATATTATAATATTAGATATATTTTTACCTATCGAATATGACATGTAAGTGATTTAATGAAATCCAGTAATGTATGATTCATATTGCTTTCTTACAGGAGGCTCTAGTGTTCCTGATTCCAAACGTAACCGAGCACCAGCATTCAGCTTTGGAAGTCGGTAATGATGTTTCTTAATTAAAAATTTAGAATTTCAGGTTTTTCATAATAAGAGCACATTCATGCAAATATTTTAATTTTGCATATATTTATATTTGAATATCTAATCACACTATTAGTCATAATTATTTGATATTATCAAATGAACACAATTTCAGAAGATTATTATTTTTTTAAATCTCCATTCCATTCCAAATATGAACATATGCAAAGTTAAAGTTTCGTGAATAATGTGACGAACCCAATATGCTGGATAAAAGATACCTCTATGGCAGCAGTTTTATTATCTAAAATAGGGCTTTTATATCAGACTAAGGGGCATCAAGTGAAAAAGGTTGATACATTTTAAATTTGAATACGAAATATAATCTAACAAAAGAACAAATTATTGTTTACAATAATTTATCAAAACAGATCTCATGATGACATAGAAACTTTCATCAAATTCAAAGATTAGAAAAAATTAGTGATGAACAGGATATACTTCAAGTACCTGCAGGTCACAAAAAAGAAAAAAAATCTTATATACCTATATATATAATTGCATAGGGTCAAATGGCATGTACAACTTAGGAAGTGTCAGACTTTATAGACAACCTCATAATACAGCACAAATGGGTATAATGCTAAAATGTTTTCAAATGTGGCCTTCTACTTAAAGAAATCAAAGTATTTAATAGTATTCTTCATTGATCTTCTTATTGTGACATATGCAGTGTATGAAAATGTTAAAGAAAGGTGAATGAAACAAAAAGAATTCTTGTAAATTGCTGTAGGAACATAAAGCCTTTCAGAAAAGGAAAATTGTTTATTTGATCATAGTCTATATGGAAGTAAAGTTTAATAATGTTCTTGGAAAATTAAGTATTTTGTAATAGACAAGACAGCAATCTTATTCAAAATGTCTTTCCTCTATCACATAGGTCTGGTGGAAAGACTGACAGCCCTGGACCAGGTCCTGGACAATACAATGTCACTGGATTGAGTGCTAAGGGTATGTAATTTGCAATACAATTATTTTTAAACTTCTTTTAGAAAATTTTATAATTAAAGAGATCTAGGGGTCTAGACCCCACCTCTCAAATCCAGCTCTTCTTTTTATTCAATTCATTGACAATAATTACCACATATAGATCACATTTCTAAGAAGTTAAACTTGGCCAGATAAAATTTCATGAAGAAATTGATTGTAAACACATTTTTTGAACTAATTTATATGAGAGGGGTCTGCAATAAAATTTTTTTCCCGTGACTAAGGAGTATTTTTTGGATCCACCTCATTATTATACTATATGAATAAATACAAACTATGAATAAATACAAATCTTATTGTTATAACTCAACTTCTTTTTTAAAAACCTTTTTCTAAATGAAAGAGGGTCTTCTGGTACCCCTTTGTGATTGTTCATTATGTTTTGCTGTCATAATATTTGCAAAGAACTCTGAAATTTCCTTATAACAAATGTTAAAGCAATCACTTTAATTAGTAAATTTACAGTTTAAAAATTCTAATCTGTTTTAATAATAAAATAGTATTACGTCTTACATTTTGTTACTTCTCATGAATCTTAATGAGCTTACTCAAGATATGGTAAATTAAATAATATCATGGGAAAATTAGCATATGCATTTATTGAAATGTTCTGAAATGAAGTAGTAAATAAAAATACTATTAAAATAATTTGAAGAGAGATACACAAAAAAAATTAATCACAAAACATTAAGTATTATTTAAAGACAAAATAAAAAGTAGTTTGGATCTAATGTTGAATGGAGTTGTATTAACAATTGTATTAACACATTGTACACATCGCACTCCTTAATCAATGTACTTACTATCTTTGCAGTGATTTTGTTGAAAACAAATTCTGGGTGAAATGAGTAAATATATAATATACATTTCAAGAAAGGAATTAACATCATCTTACTAGTTATAATTGAATTAATCTAACAAATATTTGAAAATAATATATCCCTAATTTCTACCCAAACTTACCAAATAATTCTCTGATAGGAAAGGACAATCCCCCAGCATCCAGTCTTCACAGCCGACCCAAGGAGATAAAAACTGCACAGACCCCTGCTCCTGGAGACTACAATCCAGAGAAATCCGATAAGATTGTTCACGCATCACCCAAGTTCACATTTGGCCTGAAAACTCAACCAGGCAAGCCCAGTACCACCCCAGGTAAGTTGCCAGGATATTTTAATGTGACAGTATTATTCAAAAAGAAAATGTTAAATAATGGAATTTTAATTTACAGCTCCAAATGTATACAACATACCAACAGTTCTTGGAGCAACAAAGGAAGGCAATAAGAAACAAGCACCAGCATTTACAATTTCTGGGAGACAAAAAGAAAAAATGGATGATCGCATTAACAATCCTGGACCAGGCTCTTATAATGATGCAAAGGCAGACAACTACAAAATCAAATCTCCAGCTTATTCCATCAGCTCCCGATACCAAATGCCTCAGGATCCTACTCCTAAACCAGGCCCAGGAGCTCATTCACCGGAGAAGGTAGAGAAATATATTTCACGCAAATTCACTGTGAAAATGTATTCCAGTAATATTTGAATTGGTCACTGCAAAAAACTAACTGGTGCTGGTAAAAGTGGAATATAACAACTCTTCTTAACATAAAAAATTGTCAGGGTGTGGCTTTCCTTCTGCTGTCACAAAAACTAGGTACTCAAGCATGTTACTCATTTCTGACCTTAATAAGCAAAATGATCAGAAGTATAAATTAACTAAAGCATTTTGTGATGAATCATCTATGTGATGTAAATAGTGGAGAAAATTGATAAAAAGGTTGTTTGTTACCCTGACTTTTGCTCAATAATCAGTGTTTAAAATAATGACTGTTTCACCTTCCCTTACTTACCATGCAGAACTCATATCAATACTTATATTTACTAACATACTGTCTTGATTTTCAGTAATATGCTGATTAAATACTAACATCACCTACCCTTTTTCCTTCCCTGCAGGTCAATATGAACTTGCGCTGGGCTCCTCACTATTCCTTTGGCATTAAGCATTCCCAGTTCAAAGGTGACAAAGGTTTCTTGCTTGTACAAGATTCTTCAAAGTCAAGATGCACTTGCACGTGTTAAGTAAGGAAAAATATTATTTTACATGTAATATATAAGTTTTATCTAATGCATTTCTTCATTAATTTTCCAAAATAATGCTTCTATTTACAACTGCATGAAAAAAATGTGCAAAATTAGTTTTACAATTTCCTTATGTAATTTTTTTATTTTGAAGTCATCAATATTAACTGAATACTAATGAACTACTGAAACATCGCGTACTAATGAATTATTGTAAGAACTATAAAGGACAAAGAACCAACTAGTTTCTCATAAACTATCTGTTCATATATTGTTTTCTTGTAATTTTTTTGTATTATTATTATTTATACTTGTGAAAATAGTACTGTCCAAGTGTCTCTCAAATGTAAACTATTAAAAACCTTCTATGTTTGATTTCAGGTTCGTTTGGATACAATTCCAGCTCACACATTTGGAATCAAACACTCACAGTACATGGGTGTGCTGAAAGCTCATACTTCTTAAACATCTTACACATCTTTTTCCTGAAGTTTCTTTCAAGTATATGGCCTTGCACCCAGCTGTCAAACAATAGTGAAAAATATTATTCATTTTAAAATGACCACCAGTAAATTAAAAAAAGAGAAAATTTGTTGCAATTTCATTTCCTATATAGTAATTGGCTATTGTTTTAGCATATAACACATATTTTAGGATAATATCACTGATGATATTTGCAAAGAGTATGGCCCCATGGATCCATTATAATTGTTCACTTTCTCTGAGACATGAAGTCTGAAGACAATGGAATGTGATTATGTTCTATCCAGGGATCTGAATCTGCAATTACTAAATGTCTGAATCTCAACAGTATTACGATTTTCTTACAAATTTTGAATCTTTATCAGAATGTTCTTAGCATTAGAATTCTCACTGATTCACAGTGGGTGAGACTGTTTATATTTAAATCAAAGGGGCTGAATATATTGCTCTTTTTCTTGTAAAGAATGTTCACAAATGTGCATATTGTTCTAGATATGAAATTTCAATAAGAAAAGGAAAAAGAAAGAGAAAAAAAAGACAGAGTAGCATTCATACATTGTAAATAAAAGAACTACAATGTAGTGTAATTGCTACAGAACCTTGAAAGCTCATGTGATGAGTAAAACTGTTGACTCTGAATTCTTTATCATGTATTTATTAGAAATGTAAAAATAATGTTAAGTTTGAGTAAATCCTAGTTATGTTAATTTGAACATATTCACACATCTTCTGTGCAGCAATAGCAAACAATTACAAAGCCCCACAATACATATAAGTATATGCTTATTAACATCCAAATTAATTGTAGCATACAAGACAGTTTTGTTGCTTCATAAATATGAAAGCTAACATAAGGTGAGGGATTCTATAAATTTTATTCAGTAAAGCAGCATTTATCTAAAACAAACATACAGAAGCATGCATGTGAAATAAAGTAGAATAAAGAAAGTAGAGAAGAGCTTTGAAAAGATCTTTGTGTATCTTAAGTTTCTGTAACAGTGAACTTATGCACAATAAAAATAAATTTATAAAAGGACATCTTAATTATTAAAAATACATGTTCCCTATAAGTCATAACATTATTTCATACTCTTCAAAATACTAAAGTGCAATGGGCCAAAATTGAGAAAAATATATTTAGCATATGAAAACATAGTAATAACCAAACTAAAACTGCAAATTTAACAAGATATATACAATTTCCTCCTCTGTGAGATAACTGTTGGATGTTAGTTACAATGGTAATATATTGTTCCAGAAGTATGGTATACAGTATCATCAAAAGTTGATTTTGGCCCATGGTATCTTACTATTTTAAATCTTTGTTTTTACTTTTTCATTCATATATTTTTATTTATATTTTTAGTACGTCATCACCTGACAGAAAAAACTCTTTAAGTGAATACTGCATTAAGATGTTCTCTTTATACAAACATATAATATGCAAAGGAAAATTAATGGTTTGGTACTATTTATATGAAAGCATTCACAGAAAACTCTGTAATTATACTACTGCTGGAAAGGGAATTACCACTCAGTCCTACATCAAACAGATTTGAAAATAAAAATTGTAGTTTGCTCCAGGAAGAAACAGGCACACAACTCACTTCCCCATTGTATGTAACTTAAAAACAATTCTTTCTAGGCTTTGGGTTATTGCGTCTCTAAAGGGACACAAGTTAGGTTTCTTATGACATAATCTATGTAGTGACACTTATAGACATTTTATTTGTCTTTGGATTTCCATTCTGTTGTCGGAAACATTGAAAATAGGTTTCCATTGCAAAAGATTTTCTTTTGATTTAAAAATGTGTGATCTTTGCGCAAGCCACACATGCATGATATTATCAGCTTAGGTAATTTGGAGACCCCCATTTCCAACCTTCACTGTCCCCTCTTCACATTTCGATGCTGAAATATAAAGAAAATCCTATTAATTTTTATGGTATTTTGTATTAAAAAAAAATATTTTGAAAGTATTTCTTAGTGTTTCAATTTAAGATTATGCAAAGAAAAATTATATATGAATAACTGTGTAAGAATCACTGATATGCCAATTTTTTGCATATAGTTAAATCAGGCATAACTTTTTTACACAACAGAGAGAGTGCGTGTGTGCATGACTGCTTTCCAGATGGTATCCTCTCTGCAATGTTGTGGCTAGGCAAAGAGTGTGGCAAGCAGTTTTAAATTGTGAGAAAATTGAAATTATACTAGCGTAAAAGAAGGTATTTAAAACATTGTGACGAAAATGGATGGGACTGACAAAAGTAACTGGCAGGATTTCATAAATTGTGGTAATGTAAAAGCGGGGTTTTATAGTATCACTTGGATAAAATAATAGTAATAATAAAAACAATGATGGCCTTTTTTTTTCATTAGCTTTGTGAGTGCAGTATGAACAAATAAATAAATCATCTGCTTCCCAATTTGTGCAATTGCAGCATTTCATGCACTGCCATTAGTGTTCACCAAGTTCTGTGGGCTCAATCCCCAGGTTCTCATATTAGGAGCCAGCATGTGGTTGAATTCAAAACAAATATTTAAGGGTTTGTTCACTATTGTACATATGCATGGCTTAAACTTATCAACTATTATATAAGCACTTTGAACATATCTAAATGTCTTACTTTAACTTCAAAAAATCTATAAAAAGTACATGGTGCCATAAAAATCAGGAGGAAACATTATCACAAAACTTGTCTAAAACATTGCACAACACAACACTTTCAAAAATCTACAACAAAATAAGAATATGATTGAAGAAAAATTACATTAATAAAGTTTGAAGTCAATCTTGCAATGATCAGTAATTGAATAAACAAACATACACAAGAAAATATAACATAAAAATATATAAATAAAACAAAAATGACTGCAAATAAAGATAATGTAACAACACTTGAAGTAAAATATTACAGTGGAGTGAAAGTACATCTAAGAGGAGGTCAGATAGCTGAGTAAGAGAGCAGACCAAATATCTAGGCAATAAAATTGATAAATTTCATGAAAAAAGGCATTTAAGAAGATAATTATGCTTGGAAAAATCATTAAATGAAAAAATGGCAAAAAATAAATACTAAATAAAGGAAAACTTCATAAGACTAGTTTAATTCTTCATAATTTGTGCACATATACAAGAAGCCCTTTAAATATCTTCACATACAAATTGAAATAAATGATTCATGATTGAGTGTTTCTCAATTTATCATTATCATCATCATGAACTGAAAGATGTTTAGGCTCGACAGCCTGTTCCATTAGTTGTGCAGTATTCCAGGTACTTTTGAACTGAAGAAACTAGGTTCTTCATAAATGATCATAAACTGAGGAGCTGACTAACGAAATATTTCACAAATTCAGAAAATAACACTGAATGATTGATAAAAAAATTCAATGTTTAAGATTATTTTAATAAACTAAAGGTGCTACAACCACACAAACATTCTTGCATCATTTGTAATTCTTATGTAATAAAATACTTTTTGAATCTACAGAAGTGATTCCAACCCGCAAAAATATTTGACGACATAGGAACTCAAAAATGGTAATTAGGTTTAGCAAGCAGCAAACTACTACTACTACTACAATTATCACCACCGTCATACCAACCTTTCCAACATTTTAAAAAGAAAGTTAAACCATTGTGATTTTTGAAGATTCAAAGGTTTCTATAAAAAATCATGAAAGTTTGAGAAAAAAACTATGTGAAACTTCTCACTGTCAAAACATTTTGCATTACTTTATTGAAAAATCTAATTTAAAAAATATATTTTATTTAGAAAAAATCTTTATCTTCAATATTTTTGTTAATTCATTTATTTAAGTTTGCTTTTCAACTGCATATAGCAATCATTGTAACTTTTAATTTGGGGTAACAGTGGGGAAACACATACTAACAATATACACAAACATCCATGCCTGGGGCAGAATTTGAAACTACCACCCTTCAAGGCAAGGCAGCTATAGCTCTTCAGCCTTAGCGACCTCGGTTTTTCTTGAATATTCTAGTTGTAGGAGGATGCTTAAACTTTTGCAAATGTCAAAAAATTCAAAGAATTCAACAAAAATCAAATCTGAGCCCTTTTTTCAGCATTCTTTGCTTAAAAAAATAAAATTTTTGGAGCAATTTTTGAGAAATGTCTTATTCTTAAAATGCCCTATATTTCACTCAAAATTAAACAAAAGCTAATCATATTTTGAAATAATTGAACATCACATTATTTAAAGATCAATTATTGAAAAACTGATTTCATTAAGAAAAAATATCCATCTTCAATTCTGTAATTGTAAGAAGACACTGACAAAATTTCAAAGTTTTGAAATTTTTGAAAATTCAAAAAATTTAATAAAAATCTGTTCTGCCCCATTTTATGTTTTATCTGAGAAGAATGTGAAATAAATAAATTTGAGCCATTATTGAGATAATTTTGAGAATGTCTTTGAAGCTTCACATAAAATATCTCCAAAAGTCAAAATATACATTTCAAATTCATGGGGCCACAACATCATCAATAAAATGTCAAAATCTGGTTAAAAGGGAATATAAATTTTTGTGAAAATCCTGCCAATGGTTAATCACTAACTTAGTTCTCAGATGGATGGACCGATGAATTACAACAAAGGTTTTGCCAAAAAACAATTTTTCAGTATCAAGGACCCACAAAAAAACAAATGTTTTGTGTTAATGTGCTTGACCATATCATCCAACAAACATTTAAGAATTTTACACGAGACTGTATCACAATATTAACTTTTTTTTTTTTTAAGAAAATTGAACAAATTTTTAACAACAAAATTTTCTTGTACAATTAATATACATCTATAATCAAATCTTTTTGACTGTCTTACTGTCCCAATGTGGAATTTTAAAAAGTACAATTATTAATAACAAGAGACTTCTTCTTTTTGAAGAAAAATAATTTTTTTTTGGTGATAGGGAAATACAAATGTTCATTTCTGTTAAGATCTCTATTTTCCACAACATTTCAATAGTTTGTCTACAGTGTGTACAGTAGTCTGCATTCAAGAACATATGAAGTTGAAATGGTTTTTGAAACTTTCTTACACTTTTAATATTAAAGCTTAAAATGTCTTTCTCATTAGTACGTATTTCTTAATTTTAGGTTTTAAATGATATGTTGTCCCTTTTTTTCTTCTTTTTTTTCTTCCACAATATTGGTTGATTTTGTGATTTTGAGGAATATCGCCTGAAATGTCAAAAAATAGTACTACAATGTACATAAGAGGCAATAAAGTAAAAACTGACTTTACTTTACAATTTTAAAACAAAAATTGCACATGACCTTATTTAAAGGTATGTCTTTGAAAAGGATTTCATCAAGGGAAACAATCTCTATCTTTAATATTATAGTTGTAGGAAGACACCAGAAAACTTTTGAAATTCAGCAATTTTTGAAAACTTAGAGAATTCAATGAAAATTAGGCCTGTGCCAGTTTTTAAGTATCATTAGCTACAACAGAGGAGAAATAATAATCCAAAAATTTGAAGCCATTTTTGAGAAAATTTTCAAAATTTGTTTGAGGGTTCATATAAAGTGTACCCCAATATCAAAATATCCATTCTAAATTCGTAGAGCCTCACTTTCAACCAGATTGAGTCAGGGAATATCAATTTTGGAGAAAATGGTCTGAACACAGTGCTTGCATTGGTGAGAGGCATTCAGACATTTTGCTCTCAAGCAATTTTTCAATATCAAGGACCCACCCAACCTGGATTCTGACAACAAAACATGTTAGAAGAAGCAATTTACTACAAGCATTAAGATGTATCCACTTTTTGGATATCACCGCCCTACAATACAAGTTTTTCTAATAAAAAAATTTATTGTGTTTCCAAATTTTCCTGGTGCGTTAGTTTAATTTCTTTTGTTTTTTTGTGTATTGTTTCGATATAGAAGTGGTTGCTCCAGCACTGGACATAGAGTGTCATTCTAGTGGTAGTTGCACTTTAAAACACTGCACATAAAATGGATGTTATTTTTCATCCTTTTATAGGATGCAAAACAATGAGTGGCTTATCACTTGCAGTAATAACTCAATATTAAATTTCGTTAATAATTTAATTACTGCTGCCATTTAACTATAATTTATTAATATCTTTTATAAATTATATTCAATGATAAGCACAATTACTTGTGCTTCACTTACTGTCTGGAAGCCCATTACAATGGCATTCTCTTTGAGATTTACTAGGTAATGGAATGTTGGATCATAATCAAGAGAATAACACAGTAGAATAAAAATGTTTTCAAAATTTACTTAAATGCCATTATCAGTTTCTTGGACTCCAATTCAATAAACAATGAAAATTGGAAATTATTAGTGCAACAATAATTCAATCTTAGACATTTAAATTATCAAATAAAATAATAAGATAATTTTATGTAAAATAATTTGGAAAATATGTGCAAAAAAGAAAAATAGACTAATGTACAAAACTAAGAAGGAACTTTCATTCCAAACTCTTATCATTTTAAATATTAATCTATTGCACTTTGTTTACACAAACAAGCTTCTGACATTCTAAAAATAATGGTACATAATAATGGTATTAAACTTTTTAATTCATCTAAAGAATTTTTCGTTTAACATTGCTTTTCCGTTAAAATGTTTTATGAAGTACACTTATTAAAGAAGAATTTAAAAAATAGTATTGAAACCATGACTCTTAATATGTAACGTTAATTGCTATTCTAAGCAGTGAAATAGAGATCTGCCTTTTGCTTGCTTGAATTGTCATCAACAGTAAAGTTTGTCGGATGATAGTAATTAAATGATGTATTATTAATTATTAATTTGGAAATCAATAGGTGATATGAGTAAAAGTAAGCAATTACTCTTTGCTCCGAGTTTCGGAGATCCTTCTCAGTTTCGTATGAAGAAAGTGGTTGAGCAATTGCTCAGTCTCTGAGCACTTGCTCCATCTCTGAGCGTACTCTCAACTGGCGAGCAAATGCTCAGAATTGGTAGGAATAAAGATAAGCTTTTACTGTCTAGAGACTTGCTCCAAAATTTCGGAGGGACCTTAATAGCAGACTGACGTTTGAAAAGTAAGGCTAAATTGGCCGATTTTTTACCGTTGCTGATATGCAGATGCAGTGGACTAAAAAGAATTCAAGATAAGGCGAAATTCTCGTGATGTAGACTATTGGAATCTTTGCCGATTCGAAAAGGACAATGCATGGTTCGTACGATTTTTATCAGCGTTTGCTTTCAGACGCGCATATTGCATATCTTTTATGTTAATTGGTCATTGCTCTTTTCTACTTGGAATTTTACGGGGTACTGTTTTTTCAAACTTTGTAATATTTCGTTTCGGTCACAGTGTACCTCTGGAGGCTGGTCCGTTTCAAAAAATATTTTATATTCTCTTAGCATTTCGACAAAAACTAGCTGGCCTCTGGCGCCTGTTTTTCGTTACTGCAACTCATAATCCAATTTCAAGAACGAGACAACAAAACATTGCTCTTTATTCCGCACAAATGTGCGCGACGCGCGTAATGTCTGTAACCTCTTTGTTACTCAAGAAACCAATTTTTAAAACTCTTAGCCTGCATTACCTCTTGTTCACGAGAAATGCTCGCGAGACATGAGTAAGTTCTTCGGAGACAAATGAAGTTTTTATTCATACGAAATGGAGCTTTTGCTCAGTGCCACGCAGTAGACTCACTTTGCTCCGGAGCAAGAACTCCTGAGCAAGTGGTCATTTTTATTCATATGACCCAATATTGTCACGTTCAACTAGTTATTTTATTGCAATTTCATAAGTAATGTCTTTGCAATGCTTAGAAGCACAATATAGTTAAACAACTGGAATATCAATACTATCAATTTTTGATATCTTGAAGCAGTTTTCATTCCTTTCAGTAACTTGTAATAGCAAGTGGATTTTTAATCACTTCAATATTGATTGAGGGAAGAGATTTCTCTCCAGAGGTACTTCAAGATAAAGTATTTTCATAATAGATATCATGTTGATTTATTGTTCAGATTTCATTGAAGTAACTATTTAAAGATTTATCAAATTGTATTACTTGGAGAATTTGTATATCTTTTCTAGAAAAATTACCATTGTTTTTCCGATTTAATTTTAATAAATCTGTGTAATTTAATTTTATTATTGAAATGTTTGTTATCCTGAGTCACTTCCATGGCAGGGTATCCTACATGTCCTACAGAATCCTAAAATTAATGGTAAATTACCCTAAAAGGAGTGTACAAAAAAAGTGTGCATCTAATTGGTGGAAATATCTTACGTCGTTACTACCACCACCTCCCAGTTTAATGGGAGTGCCGCCCGTTCGAGCGCAGCACTATCGCTAGCCACGAGAATTACAATTAACACGTAGTTTGGTAGCCCTGCTGCGTCAGCAGGGTCAGAGTCGTCACTGACGAGCCGTTTGTGGTGACCGAAAATTTGAATTCACCTGGTGACTCCGCTCGATTAATATTACACAGTATAATTTGCATGATTAAAACTTCTATAATGTCAATATGTATTAAAAATCCGAATTTTGTAATGTTGCAGAATAATGGCCCGAAATATTGAAATTAAAAGTCATCTCAGAGATAAAAATAAAGTTCTTGATGCCTTGAAGGAGTTAACGGATCATCCAGGAGAAATTATTAAACAAACTGATACTTTTTTTGGGGTTCCCAAAGGAAGACTAAAATTAAGACAAATTGAGGTATGGATGATTATCAGTATTATAGAGTTCATTACCTTTCTTTTCTAATTTAGCCAAAATGAAAGACTTAACAATTGTACCATTATATTGTTCTCATATTAAATTATTACTTGCTAATAAGTGTAATCTTGCAACAGGGAGCATGTTCAGAGTTGATCTTCTACGATCGACCAAATACAGATGGTCCAAAGCTTAGTAACTATGAAAAGTATGAATTTTCAGAAAATTCAAATCTTCTTTCTGTTTTATGCCAATCATTAGATGTGAAAGGAGTTGTGAAAAAAGTGAGATATTTGTATATGATAGATCAAACTAGGGTTCATATTGATGAAGTGGAAGGCCTTGGCCACTTTTTAGAGTTAGAGGTAAGTACTTAAATAAAAATTATTATATGCATTTATAACATTAAATGTCTTATTAAGCATGTGTTTTGTTCTTATGTCTTTAGTAGCATTTATTTGTCCTTATTGTAGCACTTGTGCACTTTTTCTCAACGCTCAGGCTAACAGCTCAAGTAAACATGCACGAATTTTACTTCTCTTCAAGTGTCACAGTTCTTTGATAAAAATAAATCGGCTTAGTGTAGCTCACATAAAAAAGCCTATAAAGAGTGATGAAAATATGAGTCTCAGTGTCAAATGACAGTGCTGAGTCTGATAATTTCTTTAAAGTTAAGCAACATGTAAATTTTACTTTTGCTTTTTAATTATTTTTTTATATTTGAAAATGTTTAAATTTAATTAAGAAATTTGAATTGGCAAAGATAACTTTAGGGATATGAAATGAGATGGACAATTTTAGTATGTTTTATGAATGGAACAGAAAATTTGTTTCGAAAAGCAATTCCTAATATAAAGATATACTAGATTGGCACAGAGAAAGGACAAATTCAACCTTCACCTCCGATTTTATTTAAACTTGTTACACATTCATAAAGTTTTACGGCCATAGTAGTTAGTAAAGAATGAAATTTATTGTAATAAAAAAACAAAATTTGTACTACTTATCGATCTTCCTTCCTTTCACTTATTTAATTATTTCATAAAATCCATGTATGTCAACAAAGATTTGTGCCTTGAAATATCCTGCTATTAATTCAGTGATGGCTAACTCTGTGCATTCTTATCATAATTGATCTCATGGTTCCATTTATATGAGCAAAGAAGAGCATACAAGAATATGACTGGCAAAATACTGTAATGGGGAGAATCTATGGATTTCACTACTGCCAATAAAAATATGCCATTCAAATATAAAACAGGGCAACAATGGTATGGTGCTGTTTATTTATGTAATATTTTTATCTGACTTCCTCTTTTATGACATAATAAATTGAAACCAATAGAATACAAACTATAATACTCTTCCTTAAAAATTGTATTTACAATAGAAACACTTTCACACCGAAATAAGTGCATTCATTTGTACATGCAAGATTTTCTGATATTTTTTCATTGTTCTCTTGTGCATCTAAATGAATGGCCATCATTATTTACTTTACTGTCTTATAAAAAATGTATTAATCTTTGGTGTTGTAGACGTAAAAAAAAAGAAAGGTTTTTCAAGGTCGTGACTCATTTTGTCAAAATTCTGCAATGGTGAAAGCAAGTTCCTCGTACTGTTTTCATGCACTCAAATACTTTGTTCTTCCTCCGCAGCTATTCCTTCACACACATTACCAAAATTTACCAAATCAGAATTTAAAATAAATGTTCCCGATAATGTTACACTTTTGGCTTTTCCGTTCTTTTTCACTTTAAAGTTCTATCTGATACCGATAAAAAAATAAAATATACTCCAAAAATTCTAAATTTCAAATGGTCCTCATGTCCCTTCTGTTATTAATTGCATTGACCTTTGTTTTCATTCTAACATCATGAATAAATACATCTTGTGTATTTATTCACTGTTACAATTCATCCCCTATCTGATGAAGATCTTGTTCCTTTTTCTTGATTTTCATGCCTCTTATCACTTGTTTTGTAAATCCTGTTGTATCGTAAGCTAGTCTTTTTTCCAATTTGATATTGCATTGTACCTATGGGAATAAATCAAATTAATACTTATTCCCACACTGTTCACGTGTTCTGGAAATGTAAATCCATCTTTCATTTATTTATTTCCTATTGCTCTCCTGTCTTGTCTTACATGTGCTTTTTCTATATTCTCAAATTTTACAAATTGTCACTTACATCATGGCTACATTGTATATGTGTTATTAAACTTATTTCTCAAATCTAACATATTAATAATATTCACATCTGCAATAGTTCGTCTGAATGTGAAACGCTGATTGCAAGAACAACCTAAGTCGTGTTGCACAAAATTGGAAAACTAAGAAAAACAATGTAATTACGATATGGTTTGGTAAAATAAGACAAAATAAACTGAGGATTAAGTAGCTCTCAGCCAATTCATTATTAATTTATGACATCAACCTGCTATATTGTTTGTATTGTAACATTTTTTATGCTGTGAAATTAGGCTTTTTTTGCAATCATATTGTTGATTTTAAACCTTTTTTCAAGTTCATAAAAGCTATATTTGTTCATAAGACAGTACATTGTTCCTGTGTTTCTTTCAAGACCTTTTGTTAATGTCTTCTATTTTTTCTCTCCATATTCGTCTCATTGTTTCTTTATTCATCAGGCAATTGTTTCAGCTGATGGTCGAGTTTCAAAGAGAAGTGTTTCATGAAGTTTATTGTTTTGAAGTCCATTATGAATAACATTACTTTTCTGGTGTTGGTAACATTTAACAAAAAATATAATGCAATTTTGAACTATTTAGTGATACCTTAATAACTCTTGTAATATCTCACATCAATAGAAACACAAGTCTTATTATAAATTGATGACTACCATTTATTGATATCTATTATTTCATTTCTGATCCCCCAAGTGCACAATGAAATTTCTGTTTGCTTTTACCTTACATATCTATCAGGCCTGGATAGGAGTATATATTCTATTTCTTTGATATTCAGAACAATGTTTCACACTTCGCGTAACTATTGGCACAAGCTTCTTCCTCCATTTTTGTTATAATATGAACTCCAGAAGTGCATTGATTTATTCTAGAGAGTAGTATCGCAAATGACTGACGTGAGAACAATTGAGAAGAAAAATAACTGAAGTCCTTGACTTTGAGTGTTTGTGCACTCAACTTAAAGTGGTAGATATAGCATCCATATTATGAGAATATATAGAGTACATAGAATATAGAGAGAGAATACATATTATGAGAATCCATAATATGAACACCAGAAGTGCATTGATTTATTCTAGAGATTAGTGCCACAAATGACTGACATGGGAACAATTGAGAAGAAAAGTAACGGAAGTGCTTTTGTGCATTAGCTAATGGAGTTATGTATGTACAAAATATGCATTTCTGCCGGTAACTGTGTTTTAGCGGAATGAGGGTGTTCTTGCAATCAGTCATTCATAAATACGTATTTATTTTTTTCAAAAATAGGAAGGATAGATAATATATAAAATATAACTTTATACTTTGTTTAAAATTGCCTGAAACAAATTCAAATTCAAATTTTTGAACACAAAATGAGGCCTTACATTGAAGTTGAAACAACTCATGTGAACTTACTGACCATCTTGATGTGAGGATCTTAATTAATATAATAAAGTAATACCATAATTTCCATTCGACTATTTTAGTGATCGAAGATCAAATTGGTTCCGTAATATTAAATTAATAGTAAATGGAAAGAAAACTGTTTCAATGCAGTTTTCCATTTCAAATAAACAGCTCTGCACTTCACTGAAAATGGTGTGCTATTGACTGATGTTAAGGTAACAAAATGTTTAGGTCTTTCAATTCAGTCAAACCTTAAATGGAACGTCCATTTAAATGAATTGAACACTAAATTAAGTTCTTTATGCTACGCTTTCCGAATTCTTTCAAATTCAGTCAGCCTCCACGCTGCTCGTTGTGTATATTCCGCGAATGTTCATTCCCGCCTGAGATATGGCATAATATCCTGAGGAAATACATCTTATTGCTCTCAGACTTTTAGATTACAAAAAAGGATTGTACGAATATTAAGCAAATCCCACCCACGTAATTCGTATAAGCAACTCATTAATCTAGGTGTTTTACCATTATCTTGTCTCTTCATGTATGAATCAGTGGTGTTTGTCAAAAATTACTTACTTCAGGGCGGGAGGCGGGAATATATTTTCAGCAAACGCCTTTGTCTATTACTGCAACACTAGACGAAGTAATCATATTCATTAGGTGACAGTATCAACAGCTCACTACAAATAATTTACACACAATACATGAACATTGCTTTACACCTGGCCAGATGACATTAAACGATTAAATTCGATATAAAAGTTTAAGTCCCAAGTAAAATCTGTTCTGCTGCACAACTGTTTCTATACAATTAGATACTATACCGAGCATCCAAAAGAAAAGCAAGTTTAATTTTAACAATGACATTTTGTGTATTATTTACCATTTGGATTGTATAATTCTAAATAACCTGTAACAATTATTGTACTTCAGCTTCTATGTCTATGACCCCCATCACGATCAGGTTTTCGTCCAGTTTCCCCGATCCGTCAGACGGAAGAGCGGGCCTGATGGCCCGAGTCTCGCCAAATAAGGCAAATTCAATTCAATCCAATCCAATCCTTTAGCAAATACTTAGGTGGCCCCTTGTTTTGCTTCTGGACATTAATGTAACTTCGATTTAACGTGTCCCCATTCACATCACACACAGTTTTTGACGTAAATAAGTAAGGTCTCTTTTTCTTGAGGCATTCAGTGTTGTCGTGTCCCACTGGGGTCGCTGGTTTGGGTGATGGAAAGGAGGGTTGAATTGAGGAAGATATTTGTTTGGAAGTGCCTGGGCCGGTGGATGGGGGACGGGTTGTGGACGAGAGAAGGGTGGAGTGGGAAGGCTATTGATGATGTGTGTTCTTAGTTGTGTCGTTCGTTGTGTGCGTTTGGTTGTCTTGCTTTCTTTTTCCCCTCTTTGGTTATAGGATGAGGGAGTTGCAGGATGTTAAGGGTATGTTTTGCGGCAGTGTTGGGACGGGTGTCTTAGGATGTGGTGGTGAGGCAGGATTAATTCGCGGAACGTTTGTTATTGATGTACTTTTAAATATGCGATTTTATTACGTTATTTAATTACAATTGTATTTATATGTGCGATTGAGTTACGGAGGTGTGTGGGATATCATTTTGGAATCTTAGAGATTGGATTTAATTTATATCTTCTATAATATATATATATATATATATATATATATATATATATATATATATATATATATATATATATATATATATATTAAAAGAAATACACTCTGTTTACAGGGAAACAAATTTTTAGCCT